AAGAAGGAGAAACATGAGATGGACGTGCTTCAATGATGGAACCAACATCAAAGTCGATTCCCCGTTATAGCTCAAATGACACGTGACATTTTATCTGTGCCGGTTTCTACAATTGCATTCGAGTAAGCATTTTCAACGAGTGGCCGAATTGTTGAAGACAGAAGATGCTCTTTAACCGATGAGATGATTGAAGTGATAACGTATTTACGAGATTGGACTCATGCAGAGAGAAGACTACAATAGCACCCCGAAGATCCCGAACTACTCGAACTCTTTAGAAACAAAGATTTTAATGATTTAAATATTGTTGACGATGAAGATGAATAATTTAGTAAAAAAATTTATTTAATTGTTTATTTGTGAAGCGTGAATGTGTGAATATTACATTTATGTTAAAATTAACCATTAATTTATTTACTATTTTATTATTTTTTAAAATTAATTAAAATTTTAAAAACTTATTAATCTACCCCTAAAACTTACATAAACCCCCCTACAGAATTTTATTTAACTCCAAAATATATAAAAAACAAGGAGGGAAAATGAAATTTTGCAGGCCCATAGGATTAGTCCTATGACCGATCCTATGGGCCCGAGACCAGTTTGGGTCCTAAAATAGCTCATGGTCCTAGGATTGGTCCTAGGCCCATGAGTGACTGGTCCCATTTGGGACCAGTTCCAAATGGGCCTAGCCTCAGCTCGCTTGGGACCGATCCTTAACCAACTCTAGACTTTTACACGAACAAATTGTTTCCTACTTTCTCTTTCCCATCTTTTCTCTTCGGGATTCCTTTCAAAATTATGTTTTTTTAACCCGATTTTGTCAATTCAAACTCCCAAACAAAAACCCAAATTAAGCATTTTTCAGACCCTTTCTTTTAATATTCTTTTCATTTGACTATTCTTCTTCTTGTTCTCTTCCATACCCGCAAAAAACACAAGTGTTTATGGAAGGAATACCGCACCCGATAACAGTAGTAATGTTCAATGCTATAAAAAATAAATCAGTAAAGATATGGAATAGTATTGCAACACTAATTATTTAATAATTTTTTCTGTTATTTTCTCTTTGGGGTTCCTTTCAAAATTATGTTTTCTTAACCCGATTTCAAAATTATATAAGAATGGAATATTGGTTAGATATTCCATTCTTATATAGATTAGGCCTTGTTGTAGATCCTAGATTTAAATTATACGTAGTTAAATGTATAATTACTCTTATTTGACTGACTTTAAGCAAAAATTAGAAAGCTTTTTTTCTTTATATCAGAACAGATATAATGGAAGTGGAAGTGGAACGTCTAGGAGAGATGATCAGGACCCTGATGAAAATTAGAAAGCTTTTTGATGATTTTATATATGAATTCTTGTTTTGAAGACAGTTCTTTGTATGTTTTCTCAGAGTTTCTTCGTTCTTACTTGCATGGTCATTTTGTGATACAATTCTTGGGACAAACAAACAGCAATGTGATTTCTCTTCTTGTGAAAACTAGGCCGTTTATATAAACACAAAGAGCTACTTCTCTTTGTTGCATTCACATAAGTTAGCCTATATAGCCTTTTTGCTTCTGGTTTTTTGAAAATTTTGAAGTTTTAGTTCTCATGTTGGTTGGGTACTTGTGGGAAGTGGATAGTTATTTTCTGTAGATTACTAGGCATTTTTCTTACCCTGTAGCTTTTCCTATTTATTGGAGGCTTATTTGTTATCATGATAATATAATGTCGTTACTTCATTTGTCCAAATGACATGGTTAATGTTTACTTCACTATTTTGTCAATATGTATCAGCTGGAATGCAAAGCATTGCTATTTAGTGTGATTCGTTATTAAACAATGAGACATTGTTGTTACATCACACCATCATTGCAGGCAAACAGGAAAATGGGAACATGAACAAAATTACCCCTATTTGTAAATAGGCTCAAATGGCTGCCTGATTACAAAAAATTGCAAAGTTCTAATGGTAGTAATCACATATGTTGGATTCATGCAGTTTTGTTTGTGGAAGTATATTGTTATTTTTAGTTTGTATCCTTCGCATATTGTCTTCGAGTAGTTGTTCATGTAGTTGTAAGCCGATAATATATTATGATTTCTTCTATGCTTCTGGTGTTTTGGCAAATATGTCATGTTCAGTTTCTATTTCTGTTAAGTGGAGTGCAGAGCTTCAAAACTGTGTAACACAAGAAAGATACTTTGCATGGGATTGAAGTCCCTACGCAGACGCATTTGGGGGCAGTGCCCCCTTCATGGTAAGTCCAATTAGTAATTGGACTTGTTATTAGCTTACTAATATTTGGGCCTGGGTCAGGTTAGGTTTGAAAACCAGGAAAAAAACACCCATTAAACCCTAAACCCAAAATTAGTAATTGGACTTGTTATTAGTTTACTAATGTTATTAATAAAATTAGAATCACGTTTCTTACCCCAAAAAAAAAAAAAAAAAGCTTGAATTTTCATAACAATACTGCTTTATTTTGCTGTAGAAATTGGATGAGGCTGCTGTGCAGAAGGTATTCCTGAAGTCGCTTGATTGTATTTCTGATTTTCAGTAACATTAAATGGTATAGCTACTTGAATATTCAACCTTTTTGGAGCTGGTATGTATTTGTTAATGCTCTCCGTTTCTTTTTATGCTGTGCAGTAAGCTTTTTATTGTTAACGGCATATACAAATTATGGAGAAGCTTTTGGTTTCTTTGTTAGTCCTTTTTGTATCAACTGGTTTTTCCTTGTTTATGTTTGCTATTAGAATTTCCTGACTAAACTTAATGCACAGATGGCAAGGGAAATGGATGAAATTTTAAGGTAGCCCGTTGTAGTTCCGAGGAAGGTGTTTGTTTCCTTGGTCGAGTTATCACTCATCGGTATGTCTTATCATCTGAAATATGCATATAAATCTGCAAACTGAATTGATTTATTAGAGATATGGTGAATAATATTTCTTTTTAAAAATTTTACGTTTACTTTCTTCTGGTTGGGTTATCACTCATCAGTATGTCTTCTGTGAATGACTAAACCCTATGTATCTCAAGTTCCAGCATCTTGATGGGGAAACGAGTGGCAGTGAAACGTACAAGCAATAGCAAACTAGTAAGTTACTCTGATTTTCTTCTTTTTGTGTGCACAGGTGCATAATGGCAAGAAAACTAGGATAAAAGCATTTTTCTCACTTTTTTGACTTATTTATTAGACTTAGGTTTAATGTCTTTTTTTGGTTTTTGGACTCTTTTTTGTTTTTCTTTGTTGATTCTGTAGACATTATTAGGATCATATCTCCTTCTGGTTATGAAGTCTTTTGTATCTTTGAGCTGTAATTGAAGGCCATTTCATAAGTCTATTTGCTAGCTGATTTCATGATTTTTAATCAGTTCTTGAAATTATGTTTTTTGAAGGATGCTTCCAATGTCCTCCTTCATACGTTTGAGTGAAAAGTATTTGTTTATGATGGTCCAACCTTGAATCAAACATTTATCTTGTAAATGTACATATATCATTCTTGCCATTGTAATGGTACAAGAATAGGATGTCTTCCAATTTTTTCTTTGTTCTTTTCTGAAAAATATCACACCTTATCGATCCTGTTATTTTCTTTTGCTGTTTTTATATTTTGCATATTTATGTCATGATATTTTCTCATCCTATTTTTGTCATCTTTTGCTTTAGTATGCAAATGTGGAGTCTTGCACTTGGACTTGAGCATGTTAGAAAGGTGGGGCTTTTATTGAGATGCTTGGTTCAAGCATTTAGTAATTTGTTAAAGTTTTGGGACAGTGCAACTCTTGAATTTAGTTTTAATTTTATGACGCCTTATGGATTGTTCCCTTTTTTCTTTTTTTTTAATGGCTTGAAGTTTATATGATGTTATCAAGTTAGAGATCTGGATATCAAGGTTAGCTAGTGGTTAATGTTGGAGTATGGTTCGATATATGGGTTGTGGAGAGTTAATTATTTGGTATGAGTTCTAAGTCTAATTTACTCGTTGTTGTGTGAAGATCGGTTTTACTAGTTTACATTCCAAAAAGATGAATTGGTAGTAGGGTAGATCAGCTGGGGAGAATATAAACTTGTCAAAGGCAGTGGCGGGTTAAGGAAATTGGACCCAATGGGATTTCCCTCATGCTTGAATTTTCGGTGAGCTAATTAACTTTTTCCTTTATTTATCATTAACATTCTTTTAACTCATTCCCATGTAACAATACATCAAAACATCCATTTATGATTGGTCGAAATCGAGAATTTCATCCTCATTATCATGTTAAACTTGTCAAAGGCAGTGGCGTGTTAAGGAAATTGGACCCTGGTATTTTCGGTGAACTAATGAACTTTTTCCTTTATTCATCATTAACATTCTTTTAACTCATTCATATGTAACATTACATCGAAGCATCCATTTATGATTTCTCGAAATTGAAAATTTCATCCTCATTATCACATTAATTGCACAACTATATATAGACAAAGTGTTATGATAATAGCATCTTTTTTTTCATTGAATGTAATCTTTGTTTGTCTCAGATTTCTTTTTCTCTTCTAACTCTAGAAAATCATTATTATGGAGTCCTTTTGCGACTTTTATGGTTTGCTGTCGTGATGATGATCTGGGCAATCGATTTTTTCTATAATTGAACATAATATAATCAGTGAGGACTTCTTTTTAATTCTGGAAACTTAAAAGGTTTACAATGTGAATGCAATTATTATAGACTAGAGTGGATAATTCATAGTGATTAAAGATGAGAAAAGAAAAATAGTTTTAGTAACTCTTTTATTTTGCCAGATGGCTTTTTGTTTAATAAACATTGGCTTCTGGTGTAACTTTTTCAATTCAACAGGGTTTTACCAATTTTAGCAAATTTCTTGAAGAATTTGGCCTTAGTGTGTTCTCATATCTTGTTATCCTAACTGGTTGTTTAACCATAGTTTTTACTTTCATCAAGTGAATGGACACATCGAATTTTTGTTTTGAATTGGCTCATCTTCTTGGGCAACCATTCAAATATTGTATCAGGGACTGCAGTAACCGTTTGAATGTGCAGCCAGTCTTGGTTCAAAAGGAAACACATGGTGACCATGTCTCTTTTTAGCTAAAATGACCATATAATCAGGGTGCAAGGGAGGGCTCGATACAACTCTTTGCATGACAGATTTTAGCAAAACGATGAGATATCAAATAGATATGCTATACCCATCGGTTCTTTATCCACTAATTTTTTCCTTCATTATGATAATACAATCTTTTAGCGCTTCGAATTGAAAAATTCAACTGTTGTATCGTTTATAGATGTGAGTAACTTGAGCAGAGACGTTTACCATGTCTAACGAAGGTGCTATTTCTTGTAGCTTACATTTTTTCTATATCTCTCTCCTATAGTATGCATCCTCAAGGGGAGCCTAGTCTAGATAGCTTACAGTTGAAATCAAATACTCTTCATAACAACCTTGCATGGGGAAGGGTAGGGTATGATCCATGGTTAAAAGAATATATGCTAGTGTATATACATGTCTATGATGTCCTTGTACATTCCTAATCTTTTCTAATATATTTTCTGAAGCATTGTATTGCTTTTTTTATTATTTATTTATTTTTTTGGTGGTGGATGGGGAGCTCTACATTTGGGGAAAGAACTCCAATGGACAGCTTGGTCTTGGAAAAAGTAACAACTGAACCTCAACGTTATGTTATATGTTTCTATATGTGCTGTCATTTTATGTATTTTTCTGTCGAGAATGTTTTACTTACTGTAGCATTAGTTTTCTAGACAGTGAAGAAATGACATTCTAACTTATTCTCAAACTGATACTATATGGTACTGTATACGATATGCAGAAGCGGCAAAAGTAGTTCCTGCTCTGACGAAAATAGAGTGCTTGAGTAGAATCTGCATAAAACTTGTAAAACTTGCAGCTTTGGATTTTGAGCACTCAGTTGCTGTTACTGGTTGGAACTGAAAAGACAGATTCTATGTTTGATGCTAGTTAGTTGCTGATTTTGTTAATTAAAAAATGCTAGGGTGTAAACTTTGTTTGGCCTTGATTGTTTATATTTTGATCTAGATGAAGGAGAGGTTTTAAGTTGGGGAGGAGGAGGGTCCGGAAGACTTGGTCATGGCCACGAATCAAGCATTTTAGGGTTCTTAAGCTGCTCCAGGTTCATTTGTTGATTTTATAATCTTTAGTGGTTTAAAGTGAAAAAGAAAATTTTTCGTTTATTTTTATTTGCAAAATTAGAACTTTTCACAATTCCACTGCTTGAAAATCTGACGATCTGTTTCTCTTAATTAAAGTACATACAATATCTTGTTAATTGGTGATGTTGAAGTTCTACTTCTATAATTTGTCACACATGTTGCGGTTGATTTGTAACATGGACCTCTTGAAGTTTCACATCACATCTATTATGTAACTTCATTATGTTTAAGGTTAATGGAATCTTAAGTCTCCAGGAAATTCCTGAGGGTGGAAGTTTTATTTTTTGAATGAGATATAGCTACTAGGTGGAAAATTTCGTCTTCCTAGAGACAGCGTTTTACTCCATTTGTCTTCTCTACTTATTTCCTCCGCGGATGGACAGGACTCTTTGTTCCCTTTTAGTTATGAATTAATAGATACTTTTTGAACAGTGAATACACACCAAGACTTATCAAGGAATTTGAGAAAGTCAAGGTATTTTATTTGTGTTGATTCAACTGGTGATTGATGTTGTCAGCACTGAAATGAATGTGTTATTTTCTCTTAACATTATGGCCTTTTGACCTCATCGCTAGATCAAAAATGCAGCTGCTGGGCTTCTGCATTCGGTGTGCATTGATGGTATTTTGATCAACTTTTCTTGTACCTAATCTTCTCCATGATGTCTCTTATCTGACTAAGGTTAAACAATATCTGAAATTCCAGAAAAGGGCTGTGTCTTTATTTTTGGTGAGAGAGCAGCAGATAAGATGGTGAGTTCTAGAATTTGTAATTTGATAGGTTTTGGCAACCACAGTTCAGGTCATTTGTGTAGGCTCTTCTTGTAGCATTTATTTACTCGTCAAATGATAATATTATTAATGAAATGAATGTAGGTCTTTCAAGACAGAAAAAATGCAACAACACCATCCATGATTAGCAAGCTACCATATTCAGATGAAGTTGCATGTGGTGGTTACACATGGGTGTTGTGACAAGTAAATTTTTACCCCCATTTATTTTTATTATTTTTAATCTAGGCTTACATTTCTTAAGTTCCCAATGTTATCATGGTTATGATTGAATGGAGAAGCTTCAAGAGCTTATGAAATATGGATTATGTGATTAGTTTTTATTCCATATTGATGATATATTTAAGTGCAATGTAATACGCATATGACGTCTAAACAGTTTATTTGGCACCATCTCATTTACAAGAGTTTTGCCCTTGTGATGTGTTTCTTGTTCTTATTAAATATGTGCAACATTACCTACGCCCTAGCTGCAGCGAGGATCAAATTTTGTTTGCTGAATTAAAATATATATTATAATTGGAGATGCTCCTTTTTCCGCATGTGCCTTGGGAAGTGAGCATTTATAGTTAATAAAGACTTTGTAATTTTATTTTTTTAGGAAAAATTTTCCATTTATCATAGTGATTTTCGCTGTTTTGGTTTTTATTGTTGAAAATTTACAGGAACTAAAATAATCGAAAAGAATGAAGAGGAAATTTGAGGTCTGGTTTTCTTTCTCGTGTTATGATTGACTGATTTAGGGGCATTACTAAATTAAGGTGGGAAGTTATAATTGTTACGTTTTGATACATTATAGTTTGAAATTTAATTGAGCTAGAATGGTTTTGATTATAATTATTTTGTCATCCATTCAACTTAAATTTACTTTATTTTACAATCTTAGCAGTTAGAAATTTAAATTAGCTAGAATTAATTTGATTCTGAGATAAAGTTTTGCAATGGGCAATATAACTGGGGTTGATTTCCTTCCAAATAATTGTATTTAGTAATTATGTGTATCATAGGAGTAAATTGATGATTTATTTTATTTTCCAATGAGGTTTAGTAATGTAATTTACTTAATCATTTTATAAATAAGGATTGCATTTATTTTTTATTTTTGATGTGCACATGTGAAAATTAATTGTTTTATTTTATTTTTTGTAATTATGATGTAATATTAAAATTTCCTATAGGTCAATGGACTTGACTTCACTTAGAACTTAAGTCAAGCCAAGTCATAACGGTAAAAAGATATATAAAAGACCCATATAGATTTCCTCCCCCATTTCATAATGGTAAATTATATCGATTTTCTCCTCCTTTCTTTCATTTTAAAGTTCTTTCATATATGTTAGAGGGATTTTCTGAGAATATCTAAGCCCAAGACCATTGTGATTTTTCATCATGATTTCTTGCTGGATTGTTCATCATGTGATTTGCACAACAAGAAATTGCAAGTCTGTTAATAGTGTAGTTTTTTTTTCCCTTTACTCTCAAGAATCGGTTTCTTGAGGGAGAAACACGTTTAACATCTCATGTAGACAAAGAGAATGATGTTTGTTGTAAATGAGTTATTTCTATATTCAAATTCGCACTTCGTAAAGTAAAGATACTGTTGTTTATTGTATATGTTTGTCATGAGATTTTCTCATCCTATTTTTTTGTCCTGTATTGGTGGAGTCCTGCACACTTGGACTTGAGCATGTTGGAAAGGAGGAATCTAATTGAAATGCTTGGTTCAAGGTTTACTACATTGTTCAAGAAATACTGGTTAGTGCTAATTGGTGGGTATGGTCTGATGTATTACTTCTACTTGAAGCAAGTTTTAAGTTTAATTTGCTTCTTATTCAGGTTGTGTCATAATGGGGTTCGCAGTTTCAGTGTGGAAGTAAGTAAAAATTCTGCAGTAGTCTCACTATCTTTCTTTTTATTTTATTTTTTATTATACTTCTCCAATTTCTTAATGAGCTAAGCCTGAGTTTTATTTTTTTCAGGAACTTTCAAAGTTCTTGACAAATATGGATAACCTTGCGCCCAACTTGATTGATCTTTGATGATTATTTGTTTTCAATGGTTTATTACTCATGTTCTATGCTGATAATTAACTATGCTTTAATTGAAGGTTTGAATGATTTTAACATTTCCACTTTTATAATGTTTGTCATCTTTGTAATCACGTGTTAGTAATATGTACCCAGGTCAAACACTTAATCAATAATTTTGCCAGGTCCCAGTTTGTTATAGCTTAGTTCTTTTTGATTTATTTCTATGTGAATAATAGTATAATGGTGAACATTTTGTTATTACTATGGCATACAGTTGTTGAACTAATTTTTGTATATTTAGTTGCTATGAAAGCTTAAAGGGTATGTCAGTTTGATATATAGGTTTTTATCCATGAAGAATGTCTTCTATGCTTGATATCAGTATATATTGGATGGTTGAGTAAAGAATCTTTGAATTATTTGGTTGCCTAAAGAATTCCTATTCTTGATCCATTGAGGTTTATATTAGAGCATCCTCAGAGGTGCGGCCATTTCTATTAGGCTCAAAGGCTTCATGTGTTGGCCATTTGCTTATCCTTTTCTTTTTACTTACACAAGGAGACCTTTTTACTTATCCTTTTCTTTCTACTGCCAAAAAATTATTTTTCTCGGGACTGCTATCTTTTAGGTCTGAGTCAGTGTGGATTCAGCATCCTAATTTTGATCTTTGGTTTCTTCATTTTAGTATTCTCACTCGGTCCATGGCGGTCTATGTTTGTTATTAGAAGAAAGCTTAAAGGGCTCAAAGCTTTCCTTAATGATTAGAAATTAGGTAACTTTAGTGATGTTCAGACAGCTATGATTCTGCTTTATTTCGTTTTTCCAAATTTTCTATTATTTCAATTCCATGTTTTGCATTTTACTGCCTACAATTTTTCATTCTCAGGACTGTTACCTTTTAGGTCTACGTCAAAGTGAATTCAGCACCCCCGGTATGTTTGGTGTCTTCATTTTGAGGTTCTCATTCGATCCATGGCTTTCCAATGTTTTGTTTTTTTTACAAAGTGCAAAGGACTTGAAGCTTTCCTTATTGTTTGGAACTTGAATCATATTGGTTATGTTTAAAAAATCAATGAATTGCTATATCTCATACTTCTAGATTTCTATTATTTCAGACCCATGTTTTTCTTGTTACTGCCAGCTATTTTTCTTTATCGGGACTGCTACCTTTTAGGTCTCGGTCAACGTGGATTCAGCACCCCAATTTTGATCTTTGGTTTCTTCATTTTGGAGTTCTCACTTGAACTATGGTTGTCCAGTGTCGAAGCTTAAAAGGCTCAAAGCTATTTTTAATTATTGGAACTTTAATTATTAAAGCAATGAAATGCTATGTTTGGTACTTCTATTTATTTTATTTCAAATCCCTGTTTTGCTTTTTGGGAAAAATGCTCTATTTGTTAAAAAGAAAAAGTTTTTTATATAGTTTCTTTTGTGATTAGAGTTTGCTTTTTGGTGAGGATTCAATTTTTACATATTTTGTTAATTTAAAATCCATTGAATCTTTGTTGTAGCTTTCATGAAATAGGGAATGGAGATATACAACAATGTCATGGTGGTGGAAATGTTGGAAATAGTAAATAGTTTCTATTTTGAATTTGTATTATTTGTCTAATTTTGACTAATTTACTATTTAGATAATTCTTGTCAACTCTAGTAGAGTGTAATATTGAGTTGAGACTTTTGCTGTATCTATTGAAGATTATGTTTGTTATAGCTTTAACGAAATTGGCTATGGGAATATAAAGAACAATATCACAGTTGGTCTTAAATCTAGAAATGATGATGTACCTCTTTAAGTGAGCGAACACTATTGACAATATCTTCTTGTTATTTCTCCTGTAGTAGGCATCTAGGCAGAATAGTGGGACTTGCTTGAAAAAGCCAACAGCTTTAAAGTCCTATTGCAATATGGTAGGAAAAAATTGTACTATGGGTTTCTAATTGTTCCATTTTCAATTACTGTACCCTCGTCTTGCTTTCTTAGATTTTCTACTTTGGAATTTAAGTCTTTGCTAGAATTCATAATTTTGTTCTTCAACTTGCTTTATTTGTTATATATAGCACTTCATAAAGGCATCTGGGCAATGAGAGAACTCATTTGAAGTTTTTTACTGTATATTGTGGTAAGGATAATAGTGGGAATTTGCTTGAAAAAGTCTGTAGCTTTAAAGTCCTAACTGCAATATGGCTGGAAAAACTTAGTAATTTTCAGTTTCTGTACCCTTGGCTTGCTTGCTATGATTTTTGAACTTTAGGATTTCAGTTTTTGCTAGAATTCATATATTTGTTCTTCAACTTGCTTTATTTATTATATATCGCTTCATAAAGGCATCTAGGCAATGAGCGAATTCATTTGAAGTTTTTACTGAATACTGTGGAAAGGATAATAGTGGGAGTTGCTTGAAAAAGCCAGTGGCTTTAAAGTCTTACTGCAATATGGTAGGAAAAAATTTGTAACTATGGGTTTTTTAATTGCTCCATTTTCATTTTCTGTACCCTCGGCTTGGTTTCTTAGATTTTCTAGTTTGGAATTTAAGTTTTTGCTAGAATTCATAATTTTTTTCTTCAACTTGCTTTATTTGATATATATCACTTCATAAACCTAAGTGAGTTTGCTTCATTGTCTGAATTCTTTGTATGAAAGAGACAGATTGTAGAGAAATTTTGTGAATGACTAAAAACTATTTGTTGCAAGTTTTAGTATCTTGATAGAGAAATGAGTTGCAGTGAATCGTGCAACGAGCAACAACAAATTACAAATTTTATTTTATTTTTATTTTTATTTATTATTTTTTTTTTTGTGCACAGGTGCATAGTGGCAAGAAAATTGGGATAAAACATTTTTATTATTATTTTTTTTTTTTTACTTCTCTATTAGACAAAAGATTAATTTCTTTTTCTGGTTATTGGACTTCTTTTATTTATTGAAATCATATCTACTTTTAGTTATCAGGTCTTTTGTCTTTTTGCAGTAATTGTTGGCCATTTTATAAGTTTAGTTGCTAGTTGATTTCTTGACTTTTTTATCAGTTCTTGAAATTATTATATGCTTGTTAAACAATGCTTCTAATGCTCTCCATGCATTCTAGTGAAAAGTATGTGTTTATGATGGTCCAACTTAAATTAAATATTGATCTTGTAATTGAACATATATCTTCCCCACCATTACAATGTCTACTAATTCTTATTAGTTCTTTTATGAAAAATATTAAACCCGATTGATGTGTTGTCCTTGTTTATTGCATATTTATGTCATGATATTTTCTCATCCTATTTTTGTCTTTTATCATTGTATATCCATGGTGGAGTCTTCCACTTGTGCTTGAGCTTGTCAGAAAGGTGGAATCTAATTGAAATGTTTGGTTCAAGTATTTAGTAATTTGTTAAAGCTTTAGGAGAGACTTGAATTTAAATTTAATTTTAGGACACAACGTCTTATGAATTGTTCTTTTTTTTGATAAATTTAAGTTTGTGCATGGTTCTAGAAGCCGCCCAAGCTTGTGATTAATGTTGGAGTATGGTTTGATATATGGCTTCTATGTTGAGAGTCTAATGATCTACTTATTGTTCTTGTGTGAAGATTGGTTTTACTAGTTTAGAAGTAGATTATTGTTTTTTATTTCATTTAGTGTAGTGTCTGTTTATCTCATTGATTCTCTTCTCTGTCAACTCTTTGTTAAATTGACCCTAAAAAATTATTCTTGGAGTCCTTATGTGACTTTTTCGGTAAATTTTATGTTGGTCTTGTGATGATGAATCTGGGGAAACATTTTTCTACAAGATAAATTTCGTTTATGGTTTCTCGTGTCTAGGGTTATTTTAAAGTGGCAAGGTCATGATATTTATTTAATCATATATTTTATTCCTTTGAAAAAATCGCTGGCCTTTCTAGCAATAGTGGTGGTGGTATTTTTCTTCTGTATGGATTCAAATGTTTCTGTTTGTGATTATTTACATATACTATTGGAGAAAATAGTTCAGTGCGCATCTTTTTTTTTTTTTTTTTTTTTTTTTTTTTTTTTTAAATGTTTATTAGGTTTAGATTATTGATGATGAAGGGAATGCTTAAATTATAAATTGGTGGGTAGGACATGGTACCAAATTGGGTTTTTTAATAAACCTTCTGGAAGAAGACGTTGAGACCTTAGGAGCCATAAGTTTTGTAATTCCATTTCTCTCTGGTTCTCCTTATCCTTCTTGTAAAACAATGTGGAGTAGAAGTTTGAGTGGAATGATCAAATACATTGCAAAAGGGGATATAAATTCAAGAGAATTATGGAGAAGATGGATGTCCAGTGAGCCGAAAAAGAGATTTGCAGCTTTGTGGGGGAATGGAGATTATCGAAGATTAGGTTTAGGGAGCCTGGAGTCTCAGTGGAGGCCTATCCCTGTCGTTTGCTGTGCCTTTGAGAATTAGTGCGTTAAAGCCATTGCTTGTGGTGGCGCACATATCTTCTTCTTAACTTTACTGTCTTTCTCACTTCAATTACTTAATATTATCAGTTTTCAACTCATAAATTAATAATCCTCCTCTTCACAGATAATGGTCGTGTTTATGCTACTGGTCTTAATGATTTTGGACAGCTCGGCATATCAGAAAATATAAGTTTTTCTTCGGTATTATATTTTTTAACTCGTTTTTTTTCCATGAATTGATTGCTGATTCTAGATTGTTCACTTACTTACTCATTCTTTATTATCTTTATTTATCTTTATTTAACTGGTTTGTGCACATCTCAACTGGTTATTATCACTCAGCAGCCATTACAGGNTCTTCACAGATAATGGTCGCGTTTATGCTACTGGTCTTAATGATTTTGGACAGCTCGGCATATCAGAAAATATAAGTTATTATTTGGTATTATATTTTTTAACTCTTTTTTTTTTCCCATGAATTGAGAGTGTTCTATGTTTGGACTGCTGATTCTAGATTGTTCACTTACTCATTCTTTATTATCTTTATTTATCTTTATTTAACTGGTTTGTGCACATCTCAACTGGTTATTATCACTCAGCAGCCATTACAGGTGAGAGAACTTCTGATATTTAAAGTAACTAATGTGATAAATGCTAGAAATAATTTAATTCTTTATGTTCTTCATTTTCACATTTAAGGCTTCTTGGACAAAGATTACACTATCAATAATTCTAAGCGTATTTTGAGACTGCGACATATTAGGTATCTCTAAAAACCTTGATTGTCATGAGAGGGCTTCCATGAGAATGGATTGAGATAACACTTGGTACTGAATCTAAAGCCAAGTGCGATCCATATTCTCGCATTGATTAGTTGATATTATAGTTTCACATGAAGGATACTATGAGGTAAATTTTATAAAAAACTGGTATCTATATGTGAAATGTCAATATGCTAGAGTTTTATCATTGGAAAGCTCGATGTTGTATTGTAGTGCCATGATGCATACTAAATATGAAATGTGTTGAACAACTTCTTCCTCATTATAAGTTGCTATGTTAAGTGATAAACTAATAAGAGCACTTTTAGGCTCAAGACTTGATTATGAGTAAATGAACTTCTACTGTGCATGTGGAGTCAAAGATTGGTCCACTGATTTTCTTATTTATGTGTTAGGTACTGGACAATTTTTTATGTGACTAAGTTAGGCATGACAGAAATATATGTTAACTATTGAAGATAAATAATAAGATTCAAAATAGATTATATTGTTGTCAGTGTGATTTAAGAGTATCTTGGTAAGTCTATTTATATTCGTAAATTTACAACAAGGCTATTGTAAATTTTGCAGCATAAACTTCATTTTTTCTATATCTCCTATAATATGCATCCTCAAGGGGAGCGTAGTCTAGCTAGCTTAATTAAAGTATATACAATATTTTTTAATCTACTTTTGAGTTTTCTTGTTTATTTTTGCAATTTCTTCTAAAATTGATAGAATGTGAACTTTTAATTCAACTAAAATTTCAAGTATGTTCACATGCATTGGTCGTTAGGTTCGGTATTGCACAACCAATTTGTACATACTTGAAATTTTAGTTATGTCCAAGAATCATAACTTGGCCACAAGTGGTGGAAATTGTGGTCCTGGAGATATTAAGGTGATCATTATTATTCTATGGGGGAGAAACTTCCTCATTTCACTCTGTCTTTTTTTGTTTTCTTCTTTGCCCAACTCTGACAAGGATTTTTTATTTAACAAATTTTCTTTCTTGGGACTAATACCTTTTTGGTCTAAGTCAATGCGGATTCAACATCCCAATATTGATTTTTGGTTTCTTCATTTTGGAATTCTCACTCGATTCAAGGCGGTCCTATGTTTGTTTTTAGAAGAAAGCTTAAAGGGCTGAAAGCATTCTTTAATGATTGAAACTTGAATCACTTTGGTAATGTTGAGACAACAATGATTTACTTTATTTTCTATTGCTTTTGATCCATGTTTTGGTTTTTACTGTCTACAATTTTTCATTCTCAAGACTGTTACCTTCTTAGCTCTACGTCAATGATTTAGCACCCTGGTTTGATGTTGATTTCTTCCTTTTGTAGTTCTCAATCAATCCATGGCTTTCCAATGTTTGTTTTTACAAAAAAGTGTATGGGGCTCAAAAGGTTTTCCTTGATGATTGGCACTTGAATAATATTGGTTATGCTAAAAAAGGCAATGAATATTATTGGTTATACTTCCAGATTTTCTATTATTTCAAATCCATGTTTTGCTTTCTACTACTGTCAGCTATTTTTCTTTATCAGGACTATTACCTTTTAGTCTAAGTTAGTGGATTCGGCACCCCGATTTTGATTTGTGGTTTCTCATTTCGAAATTCTCGCTTGAACCATGGCTGTCCAGTGCAGCTTAAAGGG